TCTACTGCATCTTTGTTTCCCCTTTGATTATGGTTATGCTATTATTACCGCAGATGTTTGAAATTTTAACTCCTACTGAGGCTTATGCTGTTTGCTATGGAAAAAAAAAAAAAAAAAAAAGGAAAAAAAGGTAATCCTGGTTATGAATCTCCAAAGTCACACTCTAATGAGCAGACCCATAGAGATTAAGAACTGGCCTTGAGTGCCAGGTAAAGATTAACCTAGTAGACTCTTATGTTTCAGTAGCTGCTAGTAGAAAATTGTTGCTTCATTTAAGGAATGGCATTTCATACAAGTACACTTAATTATAGTGCTAGTGCACAGCAACCTATTATCCAGTTTGTCTTCCCTGGTAACTCAAACATTTTCAGGCAATTTGCCAGATTGCTGTTTTTCGGGCTGGAACGTTCCCTGCTTTGAGTCCATCTTAGCTTCAAGTAAGCTTAAAAGCCTAAAAGTCTGCTGCCTGAATAATAGAAAATGCATCTGAGAACAAACACATTTTAGCATTGCTGTTTTTTGAAGCACTGTGTAAAAATACTATGCTATAAAAACACTCAGATGAAATAGATGAGAAAGAGAAGAAATAGGGAGATTTTTATATCGTCAGTCCTGATTACTGAAATTTTGTGTGGAATTTTGGCCCAGCTGTAACATCATGAATAACTGCTGCCTTCTCTGTGGGAAATAAATACTAGAGTATTGCTTAGTTTATGAACAAAAACATCCTCTGAAAGTATAAGATTTTCTAAAATTATTCTTTATTTCATCCTCATTTATCTACAGATGCCCTTTTCAGTCCACAAGTAATTTTTTTAAGTGCAAGTGTTATGTGATTCACTATTCTTTATTCACATGGTGGCAGTGAGCCCCCAATCAAGTGCTGTTTGATAGTTAAAACAGTAAAGACCACCCCTCAGGTCACAGACAATTTGTAATTAGAAAGAACATTTGGGCTGGGAAATCAGTAATTTTCCTCATATTCTTATTATTTAATTATAGAACTGAATCACATGTAGCTGCTTTATGGTTTCAAAAGTCGGATCTACACTAAGTGTGGGTAAACTCTCTTCCTTCACATCCACCCTGGTAGGTCAGCTGAACAAGCTGTGTAGTTAGGCAGACTGGGCTGTCTGCATGACTATATAATCAAATTATTGAACCTGAACTCATCTGTGGCGGATCTTCTGAGCTACTACCTTTGGATCTGCATGCAATATATTAGCATGCACTGAGCCTGTATCTGTTATTTCATACGCTTGTCCACATTAGCAAGTGATTCAGTGTACTATGAGCAGCTCTGCAGATCAAAGCGGTCAGTGTTGAGGTGTCTCTGCTGGAGTGTACATGATTCAGGGCTTTGCTTCAGAAAGGATCTAATTTTGTTCCTTGAACCAAACATCCTCAATTTACAGGTGGCTCAGAGCTGTCTGAAAAGTTAATACTTATTTCAGATCCTAAGAGGCTCCTTTGGTATGCACTTGAAACAGGATTTATGGTTTAATTTCCCCTGAACAAAATCTGCTTTGCATGCTCTGCGAGCCAAATCAGCGTGTGGAGACAGTGGTTGGGTTCACTTTTTTTAAAAAAAAAGACTCTCCTGCTCCTAATTAAAATACTAACTCTAGTGTAACAGAGGCAGATATTGGGTTACTGTTTCTTTAAACAGATCTCTTATCTGTTAATGCTTCTGGACTATCTCTGAATAAAGCTGAATTGTAGCTGAATATAAATTCAGCCCTTTGATTGCCTTGACTTGGTCCTGCAGGACTTCCAACAGCTCAGAGGTGGCTTAGGAAGCATTCCTTGCTGCCTCTGCAGCGTTGCTTCTTGCTTTCAGGATTAGAAGCCATACTTAATAGTAACCATGTGAATGAGTGTAGTATGTACTTACATCATCTGCCATACACATAAATTCGGCATGCTAGTGGATGTTCTGCGACTGACACCAGCATGCTAAATACATTGCATTACTTCATAGGTATGATCCACATCTATTGCATCATATGTCATAAGGTTCAAGTCCCATGACTAAGAATTTAGTCTCTGCCTTGCGCTACAGCTTTACTTGTTCTCTACTGGTCTGGCCAAGTACTGGCTTATATGCAGATGTAAGGCGTGGTACTGTATCTTTAGCACAGGCTCAAGCAGACTAATGTTGAATTCTAAGTGCTTCCATTAGACAAACTAATAAATTCCAGAAGAAGAGGAAAAAAGAATTAATTTGTTTTTCCTCTCAAATGACTAGTTTGCTCTTAACATAGTTAATGCAGTGGAGCTGATAGCCTAAATTTTCATTTAAATCTTCCTTTTTCATGGTTGAGTGGGAAGAACCAGGGACAGAACAGGGAAAAGTACTGTGCTCAAGGTTGCTGCTCATTGGATGTTTTGTTTTATCAGTGGGGACTGAATATGTGGATGAGACAGATGTTTTCTACTGTAACAATCCAACTTGAGTGTTTTGTTTGGTTGGCATTTTAATGAAAGCCAGGTTTCACTTTTTCAGGCATGTCTGAAATGCCTATATAATCAGGAATGAATTTCACCAACTCAGTAACTAAGGCAAAAAGAAAAAAAAGTTATATTTCACCTTATTATATGCCTTCAGCTTTGCAATTTGCAGGCAGCATATCTAGCTTCATCTGCCTGCTAGACTTTATTATTTCGAGTGTTGATTCTTTTCTCAGCCTGGCTATGTGAGCAGCAGCGGTGAAAATGAAGGAACACATGCATTTGGGAACAAAAAGCAGCAAATATCTGATATCGTGGGGGTGCCAGGATACTGCTGTCCTGTAAAATATGTGTTAGAATCAGTAAGCATGACAAATGTATATGCACTTGAATATCTCCCAAAGAGCTTTTTTTTTTTCTCACTAAGAGTGGGAGGATTTTCGGCTTTCACACTTGTTATGTACCAACTCGTCTCTGTAGCTGGTGTACTGGGGATGCGTTCACAACTGAAATAGCTTCCAAGTCCTTGCTGTGATAAACAGAGCTGTGATGCTGTCTGGTGTGTAGTCAACCCAGTGCTACCTGCTTGCAGTGGAAGTCATTTCATATGTCCCTCAGTTCCTTCCAGCTCTGAGTGGAAAAGCTGGTGTGGCTCTCAGGCACTCACCAGGCAGGGCTGGAAATTACTGGTTGGATTGTGCCCTTTTTCTTTCCTTAAATAACATCAGCAATAACTTAATGAGCAATTAGATATACTGACACAGAAGTGGTCCCAGTGATTGAAAATATTGCCATTAAACTTAAAAGACCTATAAATGCTTATGGGCCTATTTCCTAAGAACTTTTTCTCTTCACCCCATCATAAAATGGAGGGAACCTGCACTGTTTAATGTGAAATGACAATTCTATGAAGAAGTAGATAAATTAGTGGATTATCATGCCTCTGATTGTCAGAGGAGGGGAATGGAACACTTTTCCATTTCAACAGGCCCTGACTATGGCCTTTAGCAATGGATGTGGGGCTAGTGAAGTATTTTTTTATGTAAGCAGCAGCAAGTTCAAATCCTATTTTATGTATTTCACAAGAGACTAGTGTTTAACATAGCATGGCAGTATGAAAACATTTTGCAAAATTATGGGAAATAAATGAACACAGAAATAGGAGACCAGTGCAGCAAAAACAAAAGCAGCTACAACTTTATTATTATTCACTTTGCTTTTCTAAAAGAAGAAAAACTGGAAAAAAATTGCTTTATGGGTTGAATTATGTGAAAAGAGTTTGAGTCTACATTCTTCTAAGCTTTCATTAACTAAAAAACTTTGTAGAAAATTTTAATCCTTTTTGGAACAGAAACATCTTTGTGATTTTTTTTTTTCTTTTTGTAAAAGTGAGTACCTTCTATGAAACTGTGCATTTTAATAACATATGGTTTCAAAAGAATAGAAAAGCATTTCTGTGAGGTCAAACTTTTGTTTGTTTGTTTTTTGTTTGAAATTTACCTAATAGATTCCTGTGTACTTGCTCAGGATAAATAGAGATACAAGTTAAAATTGAATTTGGCTCAGTGTCACTAGAAAAAACAATGTTTAGACTTATGTCTTTTCTCTTTGATATCAAACTAATGAATTCGAAGAGATAAGTAAAAGTTTCCATCTAAAATAAGTGCTATTTAGCTATATGGAGGTGTAGGTAAGGGTAGTGACACACAGACTCTGTGTCTAGACGTTTCTTCTGATATTTCACCAGAGTTGCTAGAAGATAAAATTAAAAAAAAAAAATATTGGGGTATATGTAAACCGAGTCTGGCTAGTGATACCTTGCAGAGTATTCCTGAGCTGCTATGACGAACTGATTTGCTGCCCTTGCTTTCCAACTCTCACACTGACTTCCCCTGACATTTTTCAAACTAGTTCATAGAAAACTCAGTAGTCTTTTTCTTATCTACCCCAGGAAAGCCAGAAACCTTTCCAGTCTTCATTTAATGATTAAGATCTGAAGAATCGCCTATATGTTGATCAGAAAAGCTCATTCTGTTTTTTCTTCCTGGTTGCATTAAAGAATATCATTTTCCTTCCAGCCAGCTGATCACAATAATCCTTAGCTACCTTCACTACTGGCTCATCAAGACAGGCAGGACAGGTTATATCTGCATTAAGCCAGAATGTGCATGAGCTCTGTAAATGGAAATGTGCTAATTAGCATGCAGCCATCTAAAAGTATTCTAGCTATTAAATAAGCGATCATCTTTCTTAGCAGTATGTTATTGTCACTCGAAAATGCAGAGTTACATAACAAAGCCCTGCTGTATCAGAGCAATCATATATCAAGCAAGATAAAAGGTGCCTGCTTCTCATCTCTCCCTCTGCAGTTTTTGGGAGATAATGTGCTGTGGTTATTCTTGCACTGAAATTCATCAGGGCTTTATTGGTGTCTCTCGCAGCTGGTGTGGGAAAGGGCCTGCCTCTGACCTGCCTGTGTAATCACTTGCCCTAGGTGCATGCAGAAGGTCGGTGCCAGCCCTGGTGCTTTCCATGTTGTCCCAGTATCTTTAGGCAACAGTTTTGTCTGCTGAGGGAAGAGTCTCGATGGAGAGCAGCGTCATCTCTTCCTTCTTCCTGTTCATGTGCGCTTGGACCTGCTTTGCTCGTCCTTCCAGCCTCTGAGTCCATTCATGGCGAAGTCTGCAATGGGAGAACAGGCGTTACCACTAGCGAGCGTGGAGCCAAAGCTTTCAAATGCATCCAAGGCTTTACAGCAATAGCCACACTCACCTCTCTTTCATCACCACAGCACTTGCCCCGTATTTATTTACCATCTACACATCTCTCAAGCTTACCAGATTGGGAATGCAGGAGAGAAAGGGATAGCGCTGATGGTATCAGTGGGTGACATTGCTGGATTCCTAATGAGTCAAACAACTGCTGAAATACTGTCATTAGTGTGAAGTGCTCTTTTTTCCCTCTGGGGTATTCTCAAAGCCACACAGAAGGACGATCTTCTTGATAAGGTCATGCAATGTATAAATTAAAAGTTACAGTTAAAACTCCCTAAACTTTACTGTGAAGTACTCTTGAGCAGAGAAAGCAGGATTGTAATTAGGTCCTTTTTGTTCTACTTTGAAGCCAGCAATGAAAAATAAAGGGTAACCATTTATGATACAAAACCTCTGAAGACCTTATAAGTGCTTAATGAAAGGAATTCATGTCACATGCAAGAGGATCCACATAGCTCCAAGACACAAGTATAGTACAGACTGAAAAGAAAATCACTAGGGACCACCATAACATCTTTGTTGGCAGGATCATTTTCCAAAGAAAATCACGTTATAAAACACCTGACCCAGCAATGCTATAGGATTAGATGTTATGTGTTAATGCCAAATGCATCACGGAATATGTTTTCTTTCTGTGTATTACATTTCGTGTACTAATAAGAATAACAGCTAAAACCTGCATCTGACTATAACTTAACTGTAGCTATTTTATGTGGATATTTGTTATTTTGACTTCTGAGTTTGCTTGCAAATTGGATGTTACATTTTTCCCTTTTAATATATTTCAGTATGCCCTTGACTTCACTGCTACTGTGAAAACATAGTCAAGACTCAAAAAATCACTGCAATTAGTTAGGAAAATTTGACATTCAAAGTACTGCCTTTTCCCTGTCTTTCCTTGTTAACTAGCATCTTAGGATGAGAGAAGCAGCACTTGCACTTAAAGACATCCAATTCCCCTACGTGTCAGTTATATGAGATAGTGACCCTACAAAGTTTGGAATGGCAGCATCACTAACTTCCAAAAATATTTCTTTTCAAATTATGGAACACTTTGTGAATACCTTTGGCTTTGCTCAGGTGACCTTGAATGAACTTGCTTGGGGTTGTTTCAGTTGTAACATGAACTAAGTACTATATATTCAAAGTTCTTATGGTGTCTTTTTTTTTTTTCCTTCTCACAAAAGACTATGTAAAAACACATTTGTAGAGTTAAAAAATATTGTTAATACACTTGCAATGACAATTGCTTTGAGGTGTCTTTTTGTGGTGGCTTATTTGACCGCTGCAAAGATCACCAGTGCAGATGAAAACTTCCCTAAGACTTGCTGAATGCTGTGTCTTTCTCCCAGCAACGTTGGTGATCTAGAACCAGGCATGTCCCCAACTACTTGGGAGTAGGATCCTGACAACATGGCTCTCCAAACAGAGACATGAGGTCGGTAGAGATATTATTTTCCATACCTTTAAAATGGTTATCCTGTCTTTTATATTGGACACGAGGAACACAGTTTCTGTATTTTTGCTTAAAGAAATAATCCTTCACTGGCACATTCCAGTTCGTTGAAATCAACGTGATTTATAAGAATATCCCAGTTTTGAGAAAACATTAAGCAGGAAATCAACTATGTCAATATCAGGTGGAAACTTCACCAGAATAAAAAAAAAGAAAATACACACAGCTTTCCCATTCAGTTGTTAGTGAGTGTGTGTGATCCTGGTACAAGTAGAGCAAGTGTTTGAATCAGTACCACATATTGCAGTGGGATATCTCTGCCAAGACTACAACTTTTTTAGGATGTACCTCGTGTTCTATTTTGGGGGCAAAAATGTTCAAATAGTCTCCTTTTTTTTTTTTTTTTTAATGTTAGAGAAAAGGGATATTTTTGAAATATGTTCCATGGTGTTGGAAAAACAGGCAATGCCATATCTACCTGAGATGTAAAGGCTTAAGTTATATAAAGGGCTGTGAGACATGATAAAAGTGCTATGGATTTCCTTGTATTTCACAGTAATGGGTTGTTTTTCCTGCTCCATTAGTATGTTTTTCTATATTTGCTATACTGGTTCCAGGTGAAAATCCTGGAATTTTCAGGCTGTCACAGGCTATAATGCCAAAGTGCTTTAATTTAATATGGCTGTGCTCCAAGGCCTTTGAAGAATGCTCATGAGGTTCAGGGGTGTCTGAGTTTCCATGAAGAAGAGCCATGGAAATATGAGACAAACAGCTGTGAGAGGAAAAGTGCCAAAGATCCAGAATACAATCTGTGCTATGAATAAAGCAGTACAATAACGAGTTACCTTATTTTAAAGCATGTGATAGTGTGCCTGCTTTCTTGTGCAAAAGGAAGAATGGCACTTACTTGTTCAAGGCGCTTTTGCTTAATCTAGACTCTTCACCTTCTCGTTGCTTAGTTTGTTCTTGAATTATATTTTCCCAGAAGTTCTTTAGCTCTTCTGCATCGTAACCAGCCATCTTGTGGCGGTTAAAGCTGGTATGCTTGTTCATTTTCTGAAAAGCAATTTGGAGGTCAGAACAGTCAGGAGTCTAACCTGAGGCAGACACTGTGTTACTGATCCCTTTGCAATTTCTTTCTCATAAAGTGCTATTAAAATAAAGTATGCTGCCTGAGAAGAATAGGTAACTGATGCTTACCCTGCCATGCAGCAAATATCAGGCATTGAAACAGGCCTGGGGTGAAAGTTAAATAGTACACCTATATTTTTAGTGCAAAGTAATGACTAGGCATGGCACAGTTCTTAGAAAAATTGTGGAGTCCTTGGAATGAGAGAGATTTTAAGTGGTATTGCAAGAACTTAGGAAAACCACTTTCATATATGGTGTTATCCTCACTGGAGTTTAAATGTTATATTCTGAAGGGGTTTCCCTTTTTCTTCCTCCTGGAGTTTCAAATGAGATCACAGATAGTTCTTATCCAAAGGAAATACATTGCTCTTAAATGATTCCAATTATTAGTGCAAGTGGTATCAAGCAAAAATTATACAGGGGAATTATGAATCTAAAGTTGAAGCACACGGAGTGCAAAGCACTGGGGAACATGTTATGGCTTTGTTCTTTCATTTATCAAAAAATTTACTTTAAACACTGTAAGAAATAGAGCTTGTTAAAATTTAGAGATGAGATCCAATAAATGACATAAATGAGAGGAATTTCTCCTTCCTAAATGCATAATATTCAAATGTGGAGGGCACTGAAATTCTCAGCAAGCCTAAGGCGAGCTGATTTCACCAAATACGCACTGGTTACAAGACTTTAAAAAGTTAAAATCTGTCATTTATTCTCAAAGTAAATTAATGGGAAAAAGTATATCATATGCTCTGTTTGTTACTTTGATATGAAATTAAATTAGGTACTAACAAGCCATCACACTCCTCAGCAAACCCAAACCTTAAGCAGAATTTACTATGTCAGTTTCCTGCAATAACTCACTCCTATATGTTGAAAAACAGAATGATGGAAGTAAGAAATAAAGCATACTTTAGAGCTTTTTGCAACTAGATGAATACCTGCTTTGGGTTTCTGGTGAAATTCTTTTGCTTTCTTGTGTTTACCTGCATCCTGGTCATTCCTAGATATTTTGGCAATGCCTAATCTGTAATTGCTGATGAGATTAGTGCCGCATAGGCCCTGATATGTACTTGTGAGTCTGTTTTGTAAACTGGGTCACTCTTTGTGAGCTATCCTCAAAAAGTACTGAGAAGGTTATGCTAATGTAGATCAATCTGGATAAACCATTTTGTCATGCAGTGCTGATATCAGATGACCAGAAAAAAAAAGAAAGGGAGAGTTGGATGAGACAGGAAGGCAGACTTGTATCAGGTCTTCCTACTTAATACTGTATTTTAAACTCTAGAAAATTTAAAGGGACACATAGGAAAGATCTTGGAGGTGATTTAATTTCCAAGCCAAAATATTTTGGATTTGCCATAATGTTCACTCTTTTTTGAGAAAGCCCCCAAATAAGAAATAATTTTGTCAAAATCTCTACTTTTCTCTGCCTGATCAAGCTAAAAACTTGCTTAACAAAAAGAAACATCTCTACTGTTTCAAGATGTAGTATTTTTTTCCACAGAGAAATCTACAGTCCTTAAGACCAGCATGGTCCATCTAGAGTAATAAGTGCGTGAACTGATGTGCACACAGGCCATATAGCATTGAATGGAGCTCCAGGCATGTTCAAGTGGGTAGTATTCTGGTCCTCTTTACAGCAAAGTTAGCAAGAGCTGTAATATCACCAAGCAAGCGTTTGCCTTTTCTACCACCAGGGTCCTCCTGGGATGCCATAAATGCAGCCCAGCAAGGTAAAGAGGAATTGGCTACACTGTTGTGGAGTGGGCAGTTAGATTGACCATCTTTTTCTAAATGTGCTTTGTATGTCAATGATGTGGACTAAATGAGAATAAAGGTAGTCTTTCAATAACCTTTTGTTTCACTGTGAAGTACTGAAATAACAGTAGTGTTCAAGACTTCCTCTTACAATAAAGATATGCATGTCACAGACACACTGGAATATGCTCTGTCAGTATCTTAATTTGATAGGCTTTGAATAGCATTAGGAAAAGTCTGTGGTAATAACTTGTTACAGCAAGTGACGGAATATGATTATATCATCTTTCCTGGACCAGCAGGTCACTGGGGTCATTTCATCATTTAAAGACTTTTCTATGAGTAGCAGCTGCCCACTTGACACTCTTCAGATAATTATCCTGTTGCCTGAGAAGCCAAGAGCAACCTGCTGACAAACTGAGTAGGTTGTCCTCCAAACCCTATTATCCTTTGCCTCATGTAAGAGCCTGCCATAACACATTAACCTTTTGTACCAGCCTTTGTGCTTTTGCTTAAGCTTTTATGCTTATGATAAAGCTTTTATGATTACTAAACTTCTAGAGATTCTGCAAGTGGTACAAAAGAGGCCTTACAGTCGTTATCTGAAGTGTAAATTGGAAGAGTGCTTGAAGGATTTTGGGTGCCTCTATCTTTGGCTACGCTACTCAGAGGCACTCAGTTGGACAGCTTGGGTACCCAAAAGAGGGAGGCATTTTTGTAAATGTTAGCGCAGCTTGATTCTGAGGCTCTTCAGAAAGCAAGAGAAATTGAACATTACAACGAATGTTTCACATGCCATCACCCTGGAACTGTTGCTAAGGAGACTCTTGATCCAGGACTTTTGCCTATGATGGTGTCTGGCATTAGCAATCAGCATTTCTCTTTGATACTTGAAAAGATCCTTTCTGTGAACCTGATATACATAGATTCAAACATCTAAATACAGAAAGACTAGAGTTCACATGTGTTGTATAAAACCTTGTTTCACCGAATCAAAGAGTGGTTGAGGTTGGAAGGGGCCTCTAGAGATCATCTAGTCCAACCTTCTTGCTCCAGCAGGGACACCCAGAGCATGGAGCACAGGGCGGCATCCAGGCGGGTTTGGAAGACCTCCAGAGAAGGAGACTCCACAGCCTCCCTGGGCAGCCTATTCCAGGGCTCTGTGACCCTCACAGGGAAGAAGTTCTTCCCCACATGTGGATTGAATTTCAGTAATATAAAAATGAAAAATAGGCAACCCTAACTACTATAAACTCATCATAATTAATTCAGAGGGTTTGGATGATTGTGATTATTATTTATGGACTGGAAATTTATGCTATGAAAGTATTACAAAACACATTTCCTATGAAGGACCAGAGTCTCTTACTATATCATCAGGTAAGACAGCTAGGGAGAGAATATATTTGTACGGATTGTGTAGTCTTACCTGTACATTTGAAGTGCAAAAGGTTAGTTTTGCTGTTAATAAAGTTGATAGAACATTTAAATGAAGGTAAAACTTGATTTTTGCTTGTAGCAGCTTATCGATTAGATATTTCTGAAACTCAATTGTTAGAAATATGATCACATATTTATGAGAGGTTTTATAGAGTATTGGTTATAGATAAGGATTAACTTATGGGTTCATGAATTGTTAACTCATAAATAACATCTGTAAAGAAAATAAAAAGGTGATAGCAAAAAGAATATCAGTCACTACAGAAAAAATCATCTTATGTCATAAGTCATGTGGCAATGCAGTAATCTGAAAGACAGGCTATCACTCATGATATAGAGATAGCATCTGCAAAAAAAACTTGTAGCTGCTGATCCAGACCCCATACTTAAAGCAAATTTAAGTGTGAATTAATAACAGATTTTCTTCATCAGGTATCTGCTGTGCAAGGGAGAAAAAAAAAATGCCTCTGGCTAGATTATATATAGTCTTTTTCAAGACCCACAAAATCAATGTAGAAACAGAGAATGGTACAATTCCCTTTCTTTTAAACTGTTCTGTAGGCCAAATATACTTTGGAAAACTGTTAATTAGATGTTTCCAAATGTTCTGGTCTTAGTCAGACTGCATATACTGGATTATAATAATTTCATACAACCTCCATGGAGATTCTAAAAAGAGGTCAACATACATCTAAATGCAGGGAGGAAGGGGACAAGCTGTTTTCACTGGTGGCCAGCGACAGGACGAGGGGTAATGGCCACAAGCTGGAGCACAGGAAGTTCTGTCTCCAGGTGAGGAGCAACTTCTTTACTGTTAGGGTGACAGAGCAGTGGAACAGGCTGCCCAGGGAGGTTGTGGAGTCTCCTTCTCTGGAGGTCTTCAAAACGCGCCTGGATGCCACCCTGTGCCACATGCTCTAGGTGTGCCTGCTTGAGCAGGAAGGTTGGACTAGATGATCTCTAGAGGTCCCTTCCAACCTTAAATATTCTGTGATTCTGTGATTCTCTTCTCCAGCCTTTGAAACTGCATTTGTGCTTTGGAATCTATGGTAGAATAGGTTTTTAAAATGAAAAATGACTTCCTTGTGATTTTGAATAAAAAATGTTATTTTAGGTATATTTAGGTAAAATAAGCATATGGATTTTTTTTTACCCTATTTCATTCTTTCTGTGAGAAAATGTCTCAAGCCAGCCATCTTAGAGATATAATACTTTAGCATAATATGAGAAACATTGAAAATCTTTTTACTGTTTTCTAAGAAATATTTTACTGTATCCAGCAGAGCTGTTAATATCAAAACCATTTTGAGAAATTTTGAGGTATTTTGAGAAAATCTCAAAGTCACTTTTAATCTAAATGATTCATAATGAAAATAGTCATTTGGTTTCTCTAATAGAAAGAAATAAGTCAACCATATGTTTTCTTTTTTTGTTGGAAAATATTTTAACCATGAATATGAAAGAACATTAAAATATTTCTAGCTTTATTTTGAAATTTTTGTTCTGAAGTAACAGAATCTTTGACAAGAATGATTTTATTTAAATTTTTAAATTTTAAAACAGTTTTCTTTTTAAGATATAGCTCTCCTATGTGAAAAATAGCTAAATTTAACTCTTTCAAAACATCAGCACTCAACCACTTTGAATGCTGAGCATGAACATTTATGTATAGAAAGAAATTCCCTAGTCAATTAGGAGTTTTTTGGATCCTATTTTAAACG